GCCTGAATACAAGATCACACCACTCACTGTCTAGAAACGCACGCCTGGAGAAATACAACTCTTCCAGGGTCAGAATTTCAAGTGGGCAAAGAAGCAGAACCAGGAGATCACCTCTCAGGCAGGGATACTCTGTTCTAACTTGTGTCTCTGTCCACAGGCAGCAAGTCTTGTGCAGGGTCTCCTATGTTTGTTCTACGCAGGATCGGACTGGCATTAGAACCCAGTGTCCCAGGTCCTGGACACGGTGCTGGTTAACCATGGTGGTGGTTAAAGCTCAAGCCCTTGAGCCAAACCACCCAGATTCGAAGTCTTCTGCCATTTACCACTTATACTAGAACCTTACTGAACGCCTTGGCTCACATCTGTTGAATCATAATAATAATCACAGCCCTTGCCCTCAGAAAGTGATCATGACAATCAACTGAAAACATGGCATGTAAGTGCTTAGCCCGGAGCCTGGCACGGGGAGCGATTCAGTCAGCAGTATCTATTGCTGCTTTTCCTCCCTTTCTGGGTGGGCAACTGTGGCTCTTTGTGAGTCTAATTTTGCATAGCAGATGTTTTATGGAGGTAAACGCTACTGGCTGAAAGGTTGGCAGTTCACATCCACCCAGAGATGGCAGGCAGGTCTAAGGGAGCTGCTTCCAAAAGGTCCAACCCGCCCAGTGCCAGCAAGTCAATTCTGACTCACAGCGACCCTTTTAGCCAGGGTCAAATGGCCCGGTGGGGTTTCCACAGCTGTACTTCTTTACGGAAGTGGATCCTTTCATCCAGTGTCCCGACTGCTGCCTTTTTGGTTTGTAGTTGAGCACTTTCACCACCACGCCCACTAGAGAAAATCCTACGGGCCGTCCGGCTCCCCACACAGGGCTGGCAGGGGTAGGAGCGGACCCGTTAGCTATTAACGACAAGAAGGCAGAGTGGCCTGCCGGGCTGGTGACGGACACTAGAAGAGTACTATGCACATCACAGGACAAGTGTGGATTCTGAGGTCAACAGGGTGCATTGGTGTGGTGATCCCGGGATCAGCACACAACAGCTCAGCGTGCCCTGGGGTCATGCATCAGCTGGAGAGCATGTGAGCATTCAGTCGTGTCTGCAGGGCAAGATGCATGACGTCAGGATTTGGACTCTGAATGAACAAGCGGGTAGAAGGAAACCAGGCACCACTGCCTTGAAGGGGCCTTTCTGGTCTCAGCCCCCAATTCTGGGACGGGTCGGGTGGAGAGGGAAATTGTTTGCTATCTCTGTAGTTCAGGGAAGTCGGAGAACGTCTGAAAAGCACCAGGACACTGGAACGAATGCGGAGTTGCCACTAGATAATGTGAACGTGAGCAGGCGGGCTCTGACTAAGCTCACTTTGCCTCAAGGAAGCGACTTACCTGAGCTTCAGCTTCCTCATTAGACAAAATAGAAGTCTACCTCACAGAATCACCTCGGACGTGATGAGGTGCTGCCAAAAACATCATATTTAGGCAAACAAATAACCAAACCCACTGCCAATGGAGTCAATTCTGACTTGGAGAGACCCTAGATAGGGTTTCTGACACTAATTCTGAGAGAAGACAGTCTCATCCTGGTCCCCGGGAGAGGCAGTAGGGGCTTGAACCACCGACCTGACAGTTAGTGGCCCAATGCCTAACTCACAGCATCACCAGGACGCTTTACAATCTAGGGCAGTACTCTATAAATACTCTTGAGGATTATTATGGAAACAGTCTACAGAAACGAGCTGCTTGGCATTTGGAAGCTGAAGTGAATGTGCTCTTTTCCTGAATCTGTACTTGAAGTTGGTGGCCAGGCAGTGAAAGTAAATGGCCCCGTGTATTTGTAAGTAGTCAAGCACACACCCACTGCACAAGCCTCTCAGAAATTAATCCTTGGCCGGGGAAGCCAAAGGGGTGGAGAACCCGCCAAAATGAGGTAAGAGGGAAACGTAGAGATGGCAAACCCACCCAGGCAGCCCTGTCACTTTCCTACCTATGGTGGAGTGAAGATGGAAACTAAGCGGGAGCCATGTAGCAGGAGGGGAGAGGGCGGACAGACCCAGCCGTGTGTGCCTCCCTGCCTGCAGCTGACTGTGAAGATGCCCGTGTCTGGGCTGAAGGACTCGCCTTGGGGTCTATGGCGGCTGCCTCCAGAGCGTTCCACGTCCGTCTCCAGTTTTAGGCACCTGTAATTCAGCATGCCTTTTCCAAAACCCACTCTTAAAACCTGAAAATCACACGTAGAACAAATGCAATCAAATGACATCATTCGCCTGAGTGACAGCTGGGGGGTGTGAGGGGGCGCAGAGGGGGGTGCATGCCAATCCCATGACCCCAACAAAGAGGGTTGCAACCTGCTACTGCCCTTTCAACGACAAAATTGGTGTCACCTAGCACACAGCCCTGCTTACATTTAGGAGGCAGGAGGCAAATCTCTATTGAATTAAGTATCTTATCTGCCTATTCAATAGATTCGAAAATGATCAGCTTTGTCATCAAAACTACCACCACCATCACCCCCCCTTCAAAACCACTCTCAAAAATGCAATTCCATTAAGTCTTTTTAATGCATATTAGCAGCAAGGAATTTACTTAAATGAAAAAAAGAAAGGAAGAAAAAAAAGCAAAACTTCAAGCTTGCTCCCACCTGTGCGGTGGTGACATGCTATTGTTTGAACCTGAGTATATTATTTAACTCGGATGACAAGCTCCAGGGGCAGCGACCTGTCTTTCAGCATACACAGCTCTGAGCACGCTGGAGTGCTCAATAAATAACAGCAGCAAGAAATGCTATGGTGGTGGTGGTGGGGAGGGGACTCTGTTAAATTATTTATTTTTCCACTTCCAGATTTCTGGCAGCCTGCGTTTATCCCTTGCTGGATTTGCAAGGAGCAGCAACCTTCCAGGAAGATTAAGAAGTATTTCTGTGTGTCTGCCCCAACTCCTCGCCTCCCCTTCTCCATCCCAGCACAAGCAGAGACACCGGATAGAGCCCAAAGGTGGCTTCTGTGTATGTTCAGGGTGCCAACTGGGTTTGGAAGGGAACTAAGTCCGCAGAAGATGCAATGGGTAGGGAGAGGCAGTCAAGAGAACTGCTTTGGCTCCATCCGTCTACACAGCTGTCAGATGGCAAAGCCTGCACTTCCCAAGTTATCACCTGCTGTGGGCTTTGGAGCGGTCTTGTAATCAATCCTAGACATCCAGTGTGCCTAAATCTTGACCCAAGGTGGAGTCTTTCAACAGAGAAGTAGATGGCAGTGATTTTGCCAAACTTTAACTTTCAGATTATAAGGACCTAAATAAAACAGGTAATAAGGAAGCAGTTATATGAGTATAACAAAACTAAGCCATTTAGGGGGCAATACGTTACTTACATTTATGTGCACACACATGTGTACATACATATAGATATGCATTAATTATACCAGTATCTAAATGCCAACAAAGAACTCACAGTCCTCAAAGCCATCGAGCTAAATCTGATGCACAACAACCCTATAGGACAAAGTAAAACTGTCCCTGTGGGTTTCCAAGACTATAACTGTTTATAGAAGTAGATAGCCTCATCTTTCTCCCTCTGAGAGGCTGGTGGATTTGAACTACTGATCTTACATTCAGCAGCTCAATGCATAATCCACTATACCACCAAGGCAGTCCACAGGCGAGAAAGAAGCAACTGACCATTCCATGTGAAAAAAGATCTCCCAGTATTTTTTTGGTCTTCCCCCCACTCACACCCCCTGATGAATAGGGCTAATACATTTGCCAAAATGTGTTTGCAGAGGGGGGAGGGGAGGGAAAGGGTGTGTGTGCGTTTCTAGACACAGACTGATATACCTTACACCCCAACCTCTCCTATATGGCTGCACAACACGTCTTCTAAGTGGAGACTTCTCCCCTCCGAGTTGACTCATTTTATACCAAAAACAATGACAACACCTGTAGCCGTGAATGTGTGCTCTTTGGTTTCTGTCCAGTTTTAAAGGAGGCTTTCAGCGGGCTCCCCTCTAAGGAGCCATATGTGGAGCTGATCTGCCAGCAGTCTTGGAAGGGAAACCGCCTGCGAGCAGTGCACAATGGCTCCCTAATCCCCATCAACTGGACCCTCTTGAACCGCCGCTTTATTTGCTGGTCAAAGAAATGCCAATCTCAAGATTCAAGCGGTGGGTGCCCTGGGAGCTCAGGGGAAGCCGATGAGGTTTGCTTGGTTCAGGCACAACACAACGGTGGTGCCAGTAAGCCGAGCCATCCAGACCATCAAGCTGCGGCTCAGGAACTGTCAGTAGCAACCCCTAACACTTTCCCTTGCTCTCTCCCCTCCAGGGTGAGGCTGGCACCCATAAAGCCGCCCCCCTTCCCAACCCTTCCCTCCAGCTGGAGCCCACAGCCCTCCGCAGAGCTACAGTCCCGCCCCCTTGCCCTGTCTCTGGCTGAGGGCTCTGTTCCACCAAGCAGGAGCCCCTCCTCCAGGCTACTAGCATCGACCCACGCAGACAGGGGGCACCAGCTCTTCAGGACACACCACCTGTGTACCCGGGGAGGTGGGGTTGGGGTGGCACAAAGGGCGGGGTGTGGCAGTTAAGTCCTTAGATTCGAAGGCCTCTGCTGGGGCGCAGTGTTTGCTAACCGTGCTGACCAAGAAGGTCAAGCCCACAAACCTGCCGTGGTGACGCTGAGGGGGCAGAGGATGTCCTCGCCCGGCAGCTAGGCTAAGTGGGGGCTGCTCAGCGCTGGACAAGCTTCCACATCTGGACCGAGAAGGGCTGCTCTAGGATGCACTCGCTAGTTTGGCGCCTAACTCCTACCCTCTCTGCCTTTCCCAGCCTCCCTCTGGGGACCCCGGGAGGTGCTTTTGAGTAGCTGGGGGTGTTTTTATGCCAACGGCCGTCAGGCGGCAACTAGAGTGCGTGGACCTGAGACTTGGCACACGTCCACCCCGGTCTCCCCCCACCCCACTCTTTCCGAGCAGCGTGCCCCCCCCCACGGGGGGGGTGTCCCGGAGGCAGGACTTACACAGTTGTGCTCGGTCTGGAAGTCCCAGCTGCAGCTCTTGGCGCGCGCCTGGATCTCACTCATCCTGAAGAGGCAGAGCGCCGTGGTGGCGGGGGAGCGAGTCTCCTGGCCCTCCCCGGTGGCCGCGCTGAACACGCCCGCCCAGAGGCCCAGAGCCTCCACCAGGCTGGAGGAGAGGAGCAGGCGGCGGCCGTCGGGGAGCCCGCGGCCGCAGTCGAGGGCCGCCTGGCCCTGGAACAGCAGCACCTCGGCGCTCTGCGCGATGCGCGCCATGCTGGGCCAGCCGGTGGCGGCCCCGCTGCTGTAGTTGTAGGGGTAGTAGGGGAAGTAGACGCTGCCGTTCCACAGAAAGGCGTCCACGAAGTGCAGGCTGCCCGCGCCCTCGCGCAGCTTGAGGCGACCCATCTCCTCCGTGGCCAGGCTGCGCCCCTCCGTGTCCTTGAGTGCGATGGCCGTGCCGCGGTCCGAAGCGGCCGGGTTGCAGCGGCTCGCCTTCTCCGGCTCGGGCAGCACGTAGGTGGCGGCCACGGCCAGGTACCAGCGGTTCTTGTGGCTGGCGCGGTACACCACGCCGGCCGTCGAGCCCTGCGGGTGGCACGACACCACCTCGGTGCCGTTGCGCAGCGAGTCGCGGTGCAGGCTGTCCAGGGGCCGCACCTCGCAGGCGCCCCGGTCGAAGGTCCAGCCGGTGAGCAGCAGCCCCTCGACGCCCGGCGCCCCCTCCCGGTAGGGCAGCAGCAGCTTGCTGAAGCTGCTGCCGGGCCGGGGCCGCGCGGGGGGCGCCAGCAAGACGGGCTCCGTGCAGTTGCCCGCTTGGTCCCGGTACAGGCGCGAGACCTGGCGCTGCAGGCTGTAGTCCAGCTGGTCCAGGCAGCTGCCGCTCGCCACGAACACGCCGTGCTCCCGGCTCGCCGCGATGGCTCCGATGGCTTGC